CCCATATATATGTTTCATCCGATTTGGGGGTTAAAGTCTCTCCCAAGCGTAATATACACTCCACAATAATAATTTTTGGTAACAGATATCAGATGATAAGTTTTTAAAATTTTGTCAAGATCCGTTCAGATTTGGATAGGAGTTTCTGATTTTATTTTTTTTGCATAACTTCCGATGGAATTCAGCCTAAAAGCAAGTGCTTCCAATTTTGGTGAAAATCGGTTCCGATATAGCTATAGCTCCCACTCAGGTCACAGGTTCTATACGTGCCACCTACATACTGAAGATTTTTCATGGGCAAACTATATAGAAAATACTTCATACAGGTTTTTCATGCAGAAGACATTTCATATATCCATAGTAAGCTTTTAACAGTTCTTCTATATATAGAAGACCTATATAGATGGAATTCATTTTCAGATTTTTTGGCCTCGGAATTCTGTTTGCACGAATGTCCTCAATTTTTTGTAGGTTATCTATGTAAAGAGTTCATTTCACATCTATATTATATACATATCTACTACTACGAGGACCTTCTCTCAGTAGAAGATGTTTCACCGGTCGGCAAAAGATGTGTGATTTCTTACAGAATTTCGATAGATGCAAGGCCTGTTAAAGAGTTTCTATGCATTAATATCAAGAGAACATTGAAAATTCTTCCATATTAAATAATAATAACAAAAAAATTAATTTCTAGTTGAACAATTTATTTTATTTCCATTCATCATGACAATCGTCTACAATCAGAAATAGCCAAAAGATTAAAATCTATGAAAGTCAATATTTTCAGTACTTATTCTTTTCAATATTTTTCAATACCTTTTCAGATTACCGACAATTTAACCACTTCTGTTAGCTTGCTTTTTGGTGTTCTTCTTCTTTTGATTCTTCTTTTGTTTTTTCTTCTGATTCTTCTTCTTTTGATTTTTGTTGTTCTTCTTGTTACCCTTTTTGGCAGGCCGCTTGTTCTTCTTTTTCTTGTTCTTTTGTTTCTTGTTTCCCTTCTTCTTATTTTTCTTGGCGGGCTTCTTATTCTTTTTATTTCCAGGTTTCTTTTTGTTTCCGGGTTTTTTGTTGGCAACAGGTTTTTTGTTGCCTGCAGGTTTTTTGTTGACTGCAGGTTTTTTGGTAGTTGCGGGTCTTCTGGTTGTTGCGGGTCTCCTGGTTGTTGCGGGTCTCCTGGTTGTTACGGGTCTTCTGGTAGTTGCGGGCCTCTTGGTGGTCGCTGGTCTCTTTGTGGTTGCTGGTCTCTTTGTTGTTAAGGTGGGCTTCTTAGTAGTTGACACGGGTTTTGGTGTTGTTACAGGCGTTGGACTATCATCATTAGGTGCTGGAGAAGGATCAGAAGGAGTCGGACCAGCGGGCGTTGGATCAGATGGAGTTGGACCAGCAGGGGTTGGATCAGCTGGAGTTGGATCAGCTGGAGATGGATCAGCTGGTGATGGATCAGCTGGAGATGGATCTGCTGGTGGAGGGTCAGCAGGACCTGAACCTGTTGGGGGAGGTTCAGCTGTACCAGTCCCCGCATCCTGTCCAGCCACAACCACCATTAAGATGGCCAAGCAGGCGATAGTTAATAATTTCATTTTCGAAGCTTAGGTTTCTCAAAGCCTTCTAGGTTGGATGAAACCACAGATGTGACTGATATCAAAACCAATGGATAATATCAGTATTTATACTGTTTTCCTTACCATAAAATATATCTTTTTATGAAAACGAAAATTAATTCTCGCCACAATTTGTTACAAACTTAGCTAAATTTTGAATCGAATTTGAAAAATATAAATATTTATTCAGTACATTACGCTGAATTCCTCTATTTACTACATGCAAATAAACACCCAACATCTGTATTTGAAATCTTATGCGAGCCTATATGAGAAACTGGGAATTTTCAGTCAACATGTTGAGCCTTTTTTTATAGCGCCCTCCTGTACCAAATATGGGAGAATAAATTTAATATTTGATATTAATATGTTACCCCAACTAGATACAATCTAAAGTTGGTAGGCAAAACCCGAATTAGACAACAGTGCTATCCGATGCTTAGAAAAATAATAAATTTCTTAGGTCAATGTGCTTCTATTGTTGAAAAAAATATCTGCAAATTTCATGTAGTTGTATATCATGGAGGATCAGTGGTATATCTTAGAAAAATGACGATAACCTTTTTGCATGACTACATGGCAATATTTCCAGAATGAAATACATGAAATATTCTCTATAGCGGTGGCCTCGGAGGCCAAATACTCTACAGCAGTGGCCTCAGAGACCTGTGAAGAAAATTCTAGAAAATAATACTATTGCTCAAATCTATGAAGATTGTTCGGTGGGAGGAGGATAAGAATGTCAGAAAACGACCACAAAATTTGAAGGTAATGGTATAGGGTATTACATGATCCGCAGCGCTTAACAATGGCCTTTGCTAACTAATGCTTTTTGCCAAATAATAAACACTTATTTGCTGTTACGCTAAAAATAACACTGTGCGACAAAATTAATTTTATTCAATAGTTACAAGAAAAATTGAGCAGAAGGTAGAAATCGCATCAATCGGCGTTTTGAAAGTAGCCTAAATAGAGATGCATATACAAAAGGGTTTTTGGAAATTTTAAGTTCAGGGTTACGAAAAGCTCTAAAATGCTACTAAACTTCAATTACGGTATCATTTGGTACCTTGTTAAAGGAGCTAAAAACATAACATTTGGAATGAGATGCGAGATTGGAAGTTTTGTTTAATAGGGTATTTTGGAAATGTAACGATGTGTGCGGAAAATTAGAACTGGAAATTTAAAATTTTCTATTGGGGTCCCTATTCGAGGCTTGTGATGAAGAGGTGGTTTTGAAAATTTATACTACAAGGGCGCGAATAGTACTTCATAGTACTAAACAGGGTGAGATAAAAAACTGCAACGAAGTCAAAAGCCATAATTTTTAAATTTTTTTTTAATTTTATTAAATTCAATAACAAGTTGAAAAGCAGTAAGTTCAGCCAGGTCGAACTTTGAATACCCTCCACCATTTGGAACGAATTTCGAAATTTTCAAAAAATAAAATCTTTCAAAAATTATGTTAAAATTTTAGAAATACTGCCGTTATATTGGGGTCTATACGACGTGGACCTACATAGGCATTGTTTGTCATAAGCCATTACCACATTTAAATTAGAAACTTGAAGCAAACGGTGAATAATGTACCTAAAATCATCAAAATATCGTATATAGGAGGTACCGTTATTTGGGAGCTGTGCGAAGACCCGGACTAGCACAGACAATTTTCTGTCACAGGCTGTAGCATCCATTACGAACTTCAAATACACATCTTGAACAATTTCGGTGGGTATTTTACCTAAAATCGTCGAAATTCCGAATGTAGGGAGATACTGATGTTAGGGGCCTATACGAAGATCTGGACCTGCATAGACAATTTTCTATCACAAACTGTAGTTCCCATAACGAACTCTAAATACGTAATTTTAAACAATTCTAGTGAATAATAACGCAAAAATCATCAAAATACCGAATATTGAGAGGTACCGTTATATGGGGGCTATACGAAGACGTGGACCTGCTCAAACAATTTTCTGCCTTAGGCTGTAGTATCCATTTCGAACTTCAAAAGCCAAATTTGAAACTATTCAAGTGAATAATGTCGCTAAAATCATCAAAATACCCTATATGAGAACGTGGACCTATATGGCCCATTTACGAACTCAATCTGCGTACTGGAGACATGTACATGTGTGCAAAATTGTGGTTTTCCAGCCAAATATAAAGATCTCACACTTGAATTCCACCACTAATAACTTTTTTTCTGGAAAATTCTCACCAAAATGCTCTTGTACGCTTGTAAACAATATAATGAGCTGTCACTGGAATAATTTTAACAGCTGTCGGATGAGTGGCTTAGAAACGACAGCAGTTTGAAATTGGATGCAGTTTTTTCGTCTGACCCTGTATTTGATATAATATGGTATTGGGTGAACTGATTGTACTTGAAATCGGAAATTTGTATTAGGGTCGCTGTTCGTGTGAAGCCTAGACACATGGAAATGTTTTTGAAAATGTGTACCATAATTGTACGAAAAGTACTGAATGGTGCCATATTTGACATTGGGCGATTGAATAGAGAAAAAATTCTGTAATTTGATATTTATATTACTGGGGGTATCTGTATTTGAGCTTGGCAGTGGTTTGGAAATATGTCCTATATTTAAACGAAAAGTACTAAAAGGTACTAAATTTGGTATTGGGTAGAGGTATAGGGCTGAAATCCTCAAATTTCTCTGTCTACTATATTTTTATGATGTCTACTATAATTTTACGAGATGTACAAAATTTAGTTTTAGGTGAAGGAATGAAGCTGAAATCATTACATTTGATATGAAGGTCTAGGTCGGTGTCTGAGGTTGAGGTTTGGAGGTGGGTTTGGACTTGCGTACTATAGTTGATCGAAAAGTATTAAATTGATCTATTGAGTACTACAATTATGTATTATTATAAATGTTAATAAATATGGCATTGAGTGAATATATATAACGGGAAAAACGAAATTTGCTATTGATATCTCGGTTGGTGTCTGGTGTTGGGATCTGGTGCTGGTTCTGAAAATGCGTGCCACAGTTCTTCGAAAAATACTAGTGGTACTAATTTTGGATCACTCTTAGTGTCATGGAGAGATATAGATTGTTTTGGATATACTTACTACTAAATTTGGTGTTGGGTGCAAGGATAAGACTGGAATTCTAATAAATTTTGTTCTTGGTTTCTAGGGCTTACACATGGAAGCATTGAAACAATTTTTGAGAGAAAATAGTAAAAATACGTTATTTTTTCTCAGAACTTCTACAGTACGGATTTTCTATATATGTGATGGTTTCCAAAATCAATTCCATACAAAATAATAACAAAATAGTATTAATTTTTGTTTGAACTGTTTATTATACTTTTAATTCTAAACATGTAAAGTTTTTGCATTTATCTTGACAATCTCCGGGGTCAGAAAAAATATTAAATCTTATAGAAATCAATATTTTCTTATTGCCATTTCAGATTATCGGTAATTTAACCGCTTCTATTAGCTTGCTTTTTAGCATTCTTCTTCTTTTGGTTCTTCTTCTGATTCTTCTTCTTTTGATTTTTGTTGTTCTTCTTGTTACCCTTTTTGGCAGGCCTCTTGTTCTTCTTTTTCTTGTTCTTTTGTTTCTTGTTTCCCTTCTTCTTATTATTCTTGGCGGGCTTCTTATTCTTTTTATTTCCGGGTTTCTTTTTGTTTCCTGGTTTCTTGTTGGCAACAGGTTTCTTGTTGCCTGCGGGTTTTTTGTTGGCAACAGGTTTCTTGTTGCCTGCGGGTTTTTTGTTGGCAACAGGTTTTTTGTTGCCTGCGGGTTTTTTGTTTACTGCTGGTTTCTTGGTAGTAGCGGGTCTTTTGGTGGTTGCGGGCCTCTTGGTGGTTGCGGGTCTTTTGGTGGTGGCTGGTTTCTTTGTTGTTGCGGTGGGCTTCTTAGTAGTTGACACGGGTTTTGGTGTTGTTACTGGTGTTGGACTACCATCAGTAGGTGCTGGAGAAGGATCAGAAGGAGTTGGACCAGCGGGGGTGGGATCAGATGGAGTTGGACCAGCAGGGGTTGGATCAGCTGGAGATGGATCAGCTGGTGATGGAACAGCCGGGGATGAATCAGCAGGTGATGGATCAGCCGGGGATGGATCTGCTGGTGGAGGGTCAGCAGGACCAGGGCTTGTTGGAGGATGTTCAGCTGTACCAGTTCCCGTACCAGTTCCCGTACCAGCTCCCGTAGTTGCCGAAGTTGCCGCAGTTGCCGCAGTTGCCGTACCCTGTCCAGCAACAACCACCATTAAGATGGCAAGGCAGGCGATAGTTAGTAATTTCATGTTGGCAGCTAAAGTTTTTCAAAGCCTTCTAGGTTGGATGAAACCAAAGATGTGACTGATATCAAAACCAAGAAATAATATCAGTATTTATACTATTTTTCTTGCTATAAAATCTCTATGACAACAAAATTCAACTTCCGCCACAAAATGTTACAAACTTAGCTCTATTTTTGAAATGAATTTGAAAAATACAAATATTTATTCAGCAATACGCTGAATTCCCATATTTACTACATGCAAATAAACATCCAACATCTGGATTTGAAATCTTATGTGAGCCTATATACGAGACTGGGAACATGGATTTAAGGCGCCTTCCTATACATGATATAGAAAAAAAAGTTAACATATCACAACATGTAGCTAAAAACTAAGTTGGAGAAGAAAACCTGAGATAGACCTCAATGATAGACCGATGCTTATTTTTTGAGTAAATATACATATATGTATATATATATATATATATATATATATATATATATATATATATATATATATATATATATAAAATTAAGATAACCCTTTTGCAAATCAATGAACATTTTGCGAAAAAGGGAATGTGACAACCTCCAACCTTTGAGATTAAAGTTAATACATTATTTATAGCCCCTAAACATAGAAAATTGGAGAACGAACCGTTCCTTTATCTTGAGGGAGTCATTCATTTTAAATCTACAGAAACCTTACTCTAGGGTACCACAAGCCCGCATCACTGCAATATGTTGAAAGCCCCCTTATGTCAAAATCCATTTTGGAAGATTTTGTTTCTAAAACGATGTCATACAGCCCTGCTCAGATGTTGCCCTTGGATTTTTTACCGGTCGTCTTGTTAGGTACTTGAAACAATTTCACACGGAAGTTGTGGTCCGTTTTACAGCTATATGTAAACCAATGGTCATCCAAAATGCTAGACTCCTTCCCTGGCCTTAACTCTCCTCTCATGAAAAATTCCGGGTCGATTGGTTTATAATTGTGGCCTGTAGAGCAACAGCAAAATCAAGGAATGTTTCTGTTTTTGGTGCATTTCAACCTGTTTTACTAGATGATCGCACAATATTAAGGTGCAATCATAAAACAGGCTTCTATTCTGACCCTAACTCCACCTTTATTTTCAATTTCGTGAGGATCGAAGGATGAAATTAACATGAACAGGCGGACGATATACATAGATAGATCGAGTCTGTGCGGAGAGATAGGAAGATCCATATACCCGGTGAGATGAAAAAGTGCAACCAATTTCAGACTGCTGTCATTTCTAAGCCACTCGTCCGACAGTTGTTAAAATTATTCCAGTGACAGCTCATTATATTGTTTACAAGCGTACAAAAGCATTTTGGTGAGAATTTTCCAGAAAAAAAGTTATTCGTGATGGAATTCAAGCGTGATAGTGTGATTTCTTTATATTTGGCTGGAAAACCACAAATGGCTATCGTTAGAGTACTCCAGCATTTAAATGTAAATAAATCTTTTGTGTATCGTACCATCGCTCGTTACCGTGATATTGGTAGCGTAGCCAGACGTTAAAGAAGTGGACGGAAGAAAACAGCAACATCAGCAGAAATGGTTCGAAAAGTAAAGAAGCGACTTGATTGAAACCCAAGTCGCAGTGGCCGAAAATGGCTCGTGAGCTGAAAATATCACAATATTTCCTTCGGCAAATATTGAAAAAAGAGTTCGGGGTAAAGTCATTTGCCCAATAGAAACTGCAAATTCCACACAAATCGTCAAAATACCGATTTATAGGGAGGTGCCATTATATGGGGGCTATACGAAGACAGGGACGTACATAGACAATTTTCGGACACAGGCTCTAGCGCCCATTTTGAACTTACAAAACGAAATCTGACACAATTCCGGTGGATAATGTCGGGAAAATTATGAAAATACTTAATATCTAGAGGTACAGTTATATAGGGAGTCTGAGTCTGACTCTATGTATTTTTGTAATGGTAAAACAATTTGTTCATGGAAAAAATCTTTGTGGTGTAGGGTACCGTATTATCGCCTCCGTCTGATTATTTATTTTTCCTTGCTGGCTTACAGCCGCTAAAAAATCCATTTGTTTGCAGATCTGGTTTATTAATTGATTTAAGATTTAGTGTAGTAAATAGTAAATCGTGCGTCAGGCAGTGAGCAAATATTTTGAAATAACTTTTGTATCTCAACAAATATACACTAATTTTGTTATATTCAAAAATTTTCTAATTTGTTATAATAACAAAGTTGTTTTTACACCCTACAACACCCTGTGTTGGGGGTATTATAAGTTCGATTGGGCCAAAAAATATGTAAAACCTCAAATTATTGGTTTACAACATAGGAAAGTATATATGGAACTTCCTATCTCGCCGAGGTGAGCCGCTATGTATGTTCGTCCGTCCGTCTGTCCATGTTAATTTGTAATCACTCTACAGGTCGAAATTATGGCCCGATCTTCACGAAGTTTAGAAGATGGTGATTTTGGAGATGATCGCATAATATGTAGGGGTTGAAATGGACCAAAAACTGAACAATTTCCTGATTTTGAAGTTGCTCTACAGGTCGCAATTATAGACCAATCAATGCGGAAGTTAGCATGTGGCTACACCTTAGGGCTGGGCAAAAGCCTTGTAATTTGGATGGTCATCGGGTAATATTTAGTGGGTGAAATAGACAATAACATTTGTGTTAAATAAAAGTCAAATATTCCTTTAAACCGCGAATATTCTTAATCCCGGCGAAATCAAAATTAGACGAAAAGGTAAATTCTGACCGTTACGTAGATGCCGATTGTAAATATATCGGATATATAAAGCGAAATATATAGAATGTGTAAATACAAAGGAAAGGGATGTTAGCTGGAGTGCCTTTATCTCAAGAATGGCTGGACCGATTTTGACAAATTTTGTCAATTCAGAATGCCCTCTTGGCATAAAAGGATAAAATCTAACAACATCGCACAAAAAGATGCCAATAATGATGTTAATATAGATTTTGTAGTATTTTGTGACATTTTTTTATTTTTTCATATTTTTATCGCATGCAATTTTTTCAATTTGACTTATAATGTTTAAGTGTATATTTTGTATTTTTTACCCTACTACACACACATATTGCATATATCGGTTTTTCAAGGGTTTTCAAAAATGTCCGCAATATATTTAGGGGTTGAAATGGACCAAGAACTTAAAATGATTGTTCAGCCGTTTTGCAGCCGTTTTAAAGGTCACAAATAGAAACCAAAGGACACGAAATCTCGCATGTAGTTAGAGTTTAGGACAGCGAGTAAAATAGACCACTACTTTTGTGTGAAAAAATACCAAATAAAAACATCTTACAGGCGATATCCGAAATACACAAAAGGCGAACTTTTTACTGTTTTATGCTGATTTCGTTGACGAATAGAGCCAAATATCGTAGACAAGCAAATCATATCATGAGTCTAAATTTGGAGATACAGAGGGGCCTCTTGCATTTGGAAATGATCGCAAAATATTTTGGGGTCCAAATGAAAACCAACAATTTTCCTGATCACACAATTGAAACCAATCGTCACGGAATTTTGCACGAGAGGAGAATTAAGGACAGGGAAGAAGTCTAGCATTTTGGATGACCATTGGATTATATTTAGCTGTAACCAACAGCACGACAGTGTGCGTAAATATTGGGCAAATGTACCTGTTCGGAAAGCTAAGGGTAATATCTGGGCAGTGCTTTATGGTATAATTTAAAAACGAAATCTTCCAAGATGGATTTTAACATAAGGGGAGTTCTACCATATGTAGATCGGTCCCGAACGGCTATAGCCCTTGTGTTTTTTTTTTTTGATAATGTTGAAGCCGAATTAAAAACATATTTCTGTTAAAAAGTATAGAAATAAGTTTAAATATAAGTTTTGTCCAGTTATTAAAATTAGAGCTGTCGTATTTTCGTATATTCGGCGGAAAAATTAAAATATAAGGCACCTTTTTTATATCATCAGCTATATATACTACCAGGCCATGTATCTTCAACCGGTTTCGGGTTAATTGTGCACCAATTTGCAATATAAGTCTACATGATCTGAATTTTGGCATATACAACAGAATTCACTCTAACAGCAAGTACACCAAATGAAAATCGGTTCAGATATATCTATAGCTCCCATATATATGTTTCGAATGATTTGGAGTTTTAAGTCCGTCACAAACGTATCACCAGATATCAGATACAGCCCAGAAGTACCGCTGCTAAATTTTATCAAGATCGGTTCAGATTTGGATATAGCTCTCATATATATCTTCAAACGATTTCGGGTTAATTGTGTACCAAATGGCCAATATCAGTCCAAGTTGCCGTAATTTTGGCACATCCGACAGAATTCACTCTAGAAGTAATTAAATTAAAATTGGAATTTGAAAATCGGTTCATATATAGCTATAGCCCCTACAATATGTTTCATCCGATTTGAGGTTTTAAGTCCCATACATGCGGTCGACCTCACAGCAACACATATATGATATCTTATAGAGCTCTAAAATACATTTGCCAAATTTTATTCGAAGTCTTTTTGGTGGAACACGGCTGCAATACATATATTTATACCCTCCACCTTGGAAAGGAGGTATATTAACTTTGTCATTCCGTTTGTAGCATCCCTGATCAGCATAAAATTCTAAGTCGATTTAACGATGTCCGCCTGTCTGTCTGTCGGTCTGTCTGTTGAAATAACGATACAGCCCACATTACTTGACGTAGAGCGTCAAAATTTAGCAGAACAATTTGTATTCCGCCTAAGATGGTTGGTATTGAAAATGAGACATATCGGTATAGCCCCCATATAACGGAACCTCCCAATATTCGGTATATTTTCGATTTTCATACCCTACACAACAAGGTGGTCAGGGTATCATGTCTTTGTGCATTTGTTTGTAACAGGCAAAAGGAAACGAGATAGACCCATATTTCCTTTTGATGATCTGCATAGAATCACATTCTGAGTCGATTTATGCATGTCCGTCCGTCTGTCCATGTGTTTTTGTAAACAAAGTACAGTTCGCATTTATTGCTCTATCCAGAT